GAAGCATCTGCAGCTGCTGGCCCTGAAGCAGTTGGTAACGGACCCAACAACGTCTGTGCCTAGTGTAAGCTCACTGGAGGTCATTCAAGCCCCTCGCCCTGAAAGATAACCACAAACTGAGATGTTGACAGGAGCCGTAATGATCTACCTCATGCTTGAAGCTATCGTATGATGTTGTGTTGTGTGGGTCTGCGATGAGTTGATATCGCTTGTCCAGTTGATGCTCTCCTGATTGTGTATTTGTATGCGTGAAAACTTTCTGCTCAACTACTGAGTCCAGGTTTCAGGTCGGTTGAGTTCATTAAACAGAAAAGCCTGGAGCTCAGAAAGCTCTTATCACACAGGAAGCCAGGTTAACTGAATGATAATAATGGAGCAGTGACCGTGCATCACACCCTGGACTCCTCCTTCTGCATTTCATCATTTATGGCTGGATAATTATTGTTTGATAACATCCTGCGTGTAGATACATGTGGATAGCGTTCAAGTTCAGTCGAACACATCATTTCAAATGTTGTATATCTCAACCTTGCTGAGATACAGTTGTGCCACTCTTCACATATCAAACCAAGTTGCATTTATTTCTTTTAAAGCAGACGTAAATGCACAAAATGATTATTAGTAACACTTCACAATAAGGTTCCAAAATACTTCTAAAGCATTTATTCATTTTAGTTCATGTTAATTTCAACATTTTACTAATACATTAGCTATTAAAACCAAAAATTGTATGTCAAGATTATTAACAGATCTGAGCAAACAAACAGTTGTATTTTTTTAATTAACTAATGCTAACAATGATCATTAAAAACTGAAGCAAATGTATTGCTCACTTATTTTAAAGTGTTACCAGATTATTAAAATATTTAAAATAGTGCTGTCAATCGATAAAAAAACCTAATTAATCGCATATTTTTCTGTAATAAATCGCAATTAACCACACCTAACATTGAAGTTTTTAATACATTTTTTTAATTGTAATAATTTCACATTTAATCTCCAAATTAATATAGAAACAACATAAAATCAGTATATTTAAAATGTTTGATCTAACAGATAGAAAATATACAGAGTTTGAATAAAGTTATCAAACACTTCACAGTCTTCACTGCATAAATTATAAATTAAATATAGATTCAACATTATTAAAGCTACAAAAGTCAAGAGCAGTGAGTGATTTTCTCTTTGTCTTTTGTTCTTTGATTAGCATTAATGACATCACAGCAGCGGGTTTATTAGGATGCTGTCACTTTAAGACCTGCCGCACATGATGTGGATCTGACTCGCCTCCGATATCCTCAAAACTCTTTACGGTCATTTAAGGCTTTATTTAACTCATTTAAGACTGTGCTTACGAGGATACTCGACAAAGCGGGCATTTTGGCATACTTTTGTGTGTTATTGTCCATTCAAGCGTGAAAGAGAACTCAGTGCGGCCAGCGCCAGTACAGATTTAAGTTCTTATTTTGCTTCTTTTTGCACTTGAATTGTTTGATAGCACATGAATGAATGATATTGTGAACATATAATGTAACGCTAGCCAAAGGATGATGGAAAAAACGGATGCTGTGTTAATTGCGTTTTAACGCATTAAACAAACCAACAGAAAAATCGCATGCGTGAACACGTCAATTTTGACAGCCCTAATTTAAAATTATGCTTTTTGAGACTTTTTGGTTATGAAGCGTCATCAAGGCATTCCAACAGGCATAAAGTCATAATAAATTAATATAAGTTCAAATGCAAAACGAAAATAAGTGCTCAAAATAACTAGGGCCCTTTAAAAAAGATTATTTGCACTGCCGCACAACCTTACAGTCCAGACAGTATAATAGTCTGTAAATGACACTAGTATGTTTTCTGTGGTTTCATAAAAATAATGTAAATTATTATGAACCTAAAAAACAAAAAAACAGTTATGAAATCAAAGGATTTAAGGGTTAAAACTTCAAAGACTTTTTGTAACTGGTTATTTTTGGTGTTATTATAATGTAAATTTGTTTGCTCTGTTATTCTGATGAAGGAGATAAAAGAAACAATTACAAAAGCTTACCTAATGATGTTTGATTTATTTAATAATTGAACACAGTACATTTGTTTATTTCCACACTGCTGAACTACCAACCTAACTTATTTCAATGTTATGAATTCAACCAAACAAGCTATATATTACATTTTCAAATAATTCTTCAAATAAATAAAACAATATATATATATATATATATATATATATATATATATATATATTAGGGCTGTCAAATGATTAATCGTGATTAATCATTTGACAGCCCTAATATATATTTAAATATGAAGTATCCTAAATTTCTTGAAAAAGTCTATGCATTTTAAAACATTTATTTTGGTTTGCATTATGAGAGCGCTTATTACTGAGACAAAATCAGGTGTAAATAATTCATGTTAAGTGTAAGCCCTACAACCTTCAACTAATCGCTCACTATGTAGGGCAAAGTTTCTCAATTCCTAGTTTAGTGCCCTTATTTAACTACATGTGGTTATTTTGCTAGGACACCTGACTTCATACATTCACTAAAAATCATTGTAAAAAAAAAAAAAAAAAAAGTGCAGCATTTGTTAGGTTTGAGATTTTGTTATCTCATGCAATGACATCCATACATTTCACTCTCAAGTATTTAAGTGTTCTCATATGTTTTGGAGCTGCTCCATTGGCACTTGTTCTTTAATGATTTGAATATAAAATAAGAGCTGAGGGAAATGAGTAAAACGTTACAAGGGCTGAATTGGAGCCAGCTTTTCTCAGAACATCAAACAAAAGAGAAGTCAGGGGAAATGTCCTCCCACATCCCTCCTATTGTTTTCTGTTGTCTGTCTGTTCAGTGTCATGCATCTGTTTGGGATACAATGTTTTTCCCAGAGCTAGTGTTAAAAAAAACCCTTGGAAAAATGGACTCCTAACTTAGATCTCTGACAGTAGCCGCTGCTGAACAAATATGATTACAGTTCATTTGGCTGCAACAGCGTGCACTCTATGCCAGGCTGAATTAGTTTCTACTCAGTGTAATTTCATATATCACCATTTAACAGACAGCCAGACTACTCTGTGCTTCACATCTGGTCCCTTGTTTAAAGGGAAATCTTGCATTATTTATTCACACAGCTTTTATGAAGGTCACTCTGGAGCACATGCTGTGCTGAATAGGTAATTGAATATTTTTATTGCAAATTAAATATGATTGGATTTTGACATTAGTGGATCAGTTCATAATTTGCTGCCCTGAAAATGGATGGACTCTTGTTGTTTGTCAAAATCGCACTCTTGAATTATGTGTAAACAAAACATTTTCAGTGTGTAATGGAAAAATTGGGACTTGATTCTGTGCTTCAGCTATTGGTTGCATCATAAGTAAGTGGGTGTTACGTACTTATTTTTTGGAAAAGACCCGAAATTGAGGGGAACATCAGCAGAAAACGGAGGTGAACCAAGTTGTTTTATTTTACATATTTATTTTATGTAACATTTAAAAACACTGCCCTGCCAAAAAAACAAAAAAAAAAACAAGTGCTGTTTGGATTTAAATTGGCAAATGCTTAATAGTCTATGATTGGATCATTATTGCAGTGATTAATATTTTTCTAGCATGTTATAGGTTTGGCTACATTTCTTCTAACCCTAATTGATGGAGTGTGTAGCTTTTCATTTCTTAAACAACCATGTAGGAAGACACATCATGGCCTTATTTCAGGATGACAATGTCAAGATTCATCAGGCTCAAATTGTGAAAGAATGGTTGGGAGCGAGCATGAAGAATCATTTTCACACATGAATTGGCACCTCTGAATCCAGACCTTAAATTCATTGAAAGTCTTTGGGATGTGCTGGATGAGACTTTACAGAGTGCTGGACTCTTGCATTGTCAATACAAGATCTTGACCAAAAATCGATGCACCTCTTGATGGAAATAACATCACAACATTTTCTTTCATTTTCTTTCAGTGTATTAGTGTTTAGTTGTTGTCAAATATACTGTTGTTCTATGAATTTTACTGGCTAAAATCTAGACATTTCAATAGGAATTAGGATTATTGATTGGGAATGTCACATAAGGGCAAGATTTTCTTATTCAGATTTCGCAAAAGGGTTCAAGTTGATCACGCAAATTTGCCATGTTGACCATGTTTGAAAGTGACTTCTGTGTGATCTGTGCTTCATATATTGCTACACTATTGATTATAGACAATGGATCTTTTTTTCTGTGAAATTTGGGTACATGTTGGCCAATGTGGCTGCTCCTTTAGGCCGTGTTTCCACCAAAGCGACTGTGGCAGCGTTTTATACCGGTCGCCGAGAGTTGAAGAATGTTCAACTTTGGGTAAAACATCACTGTCACTTTGTTTGGCTCATCACTGTCACTTTTTGCCCAACCGTCCAATCACAGTGGAGAAGGGGTGGGACAAATACAACACCGACCAACTGCCACATTCTGCTTGCACAATGTCAACAGATGACAACAATAAGCACAATAACGGAACGGAACTAAATAATTTAAGACAAAAGCCAGAGCAAATACTTTACATTGTATCGACATTTTTAGATAGAAACAATACAGAAACTATTTATCTGTGAAATGAGATACTAGTAACACTTCCTCAGATATTCCATATCATAGCAAGCAAAGCGTCTCAACTGGAAAAAACGCTCTCAAGCGCTCACAGCTAGGCGTTTTCAGTTGACTAAAAACGCTTTGGTGGACACCACAGCCTTAGACTGGTAGCTTTAAATTTCTATTTGGTGTGTTCAAGTCCTCCTGGGAAGTTCGTATTTTTGGAAAGTCGTAATTACCACGTCAGGTGTGTTCAAGTCACTTTGGTTGGTAGGAAACAGTGCGTCACACATCACAACACTATTGACAATGGATAATGGACTGTTTTTTTTATTAATGGGATTTTGGTGCAATTTTGCCAATGTGGCCATACCTTTAGACTGGTCAATTTAAAATTGCGTTTGTTTTTTATTCCAACAGATCAGGACTCAAGTTCAGACATTTTGTGTCACATGATGCCATTCTACAGCTACGATGTTCCTCATACATGTGGTCCTGACCCAAAGATCTGTTGCCAGTTTGACTTTAAAAGACTGCCTGGAGGAAGAATCAGCTGTCCGTGGAGAATCCCTCCTCAGGCCATCACAGACAACAACGTAAAGGAGAGGTACACCAGTCACAGACTTTAGGAACTACCTTATTTACTTGTGACGACCTAGAAATAACAATGCTTGTCTTGAAAGAAGTCTGATTCAATGAATAACAATTTTTGTCCCTTTTTCCATGTCATTGTTTGTGGATTAGTGTTTCCTCAAATCAGATCAGACTTAGATTTCCCTCCACTTAGTTTAGTCTCTCCATGTTTAGAGTTCAGACGCTGTTGGACCAGTACAGGAAGAAATCCAAGCTTTTTCGGACCAAGGTTCTGCTAGCACCACTTGGAGATGATTTCCGCTACACTGAAGCTGTCGAATGGGACCAACAGTTTAATAACTACCAGAAACTCTTTGACTACATGAATTCTCACCCTGAGCTCCACGTCAAGGTCTTGCTTCAGTGTTTGCTTAAGTCACTCTAAATTGGCCACAGTTTGAACTCTTTTGATATTTTCAGACATTCATTCACTCTTTTGTTTCTCTTTGCAGGCCCAGTTTGGAACCATTTCAGATTATTTCGAGGCCTTGCGTAAAAGCACTGGCATGGATCCGGAGGGCATGAACGTTGGCCAGTTGGCGTTGCCTGTGCTAAGCGGAGACTTTTTCACTTATGCGGATCGAGACGACCACTACTGGAGCGGATACTTCACCTCACGGCCGTTCTATAAACGCTTGGACAGAATACTGGAATCACATCTTCGGTATGCTTCACTGAATACAAATGCACTGCATGAATCTCTACAATCACATTACATTAACACTCGCCAAGTGACAAATGCAGGAAAAAGTTGGCTTCAGCGAGTACATAAAACTGGTGTAAAACTGAACTAAAGTCAGATTCTCACTGCCGAATCAGTCCATGAGAGAAAAGATCAGTGACAAATTAGCACAAAAAAATTTATTCATTGCACCAAAGTGAAGATATGAAGAACACAACCCAAATGCACTGCATAAATCTGCATAAATGCACTGCATAAATATTTCTGGCCAGAGTCTAAATGTCCAAAAACTGAAACCATTTCCAAATGGCTGGACTTAATTTGCCTTCGAGACCATGAGTTCAAAATTAACATTAAAAGTAAATTTTGAACCATTTAGAATGCTTACTAATATGCGCAAAAAAAATTGCAATTCATATTGTGTAAACGAATGACATTACCTGGAAATTCAGCTTATTCAAAATCGAATCACTTTCTTTCTAAATATTCACCTAGTTTTTTTTTTGTTTTTTGTTGGTTTTTATGGTTTTTGTTTTGTCAACTTTTAGAAGTACACTAGCATACAGATGAATCCCCCATAACTCTAATATGATGTCATGAGGTCTTTAATGGCATATCATAACCTTTTTCAAACTCACACAGTCCCGAACTGATCATGGTCGCTGTGCTAGTACAGTCTTTCTATAAGTAAAGGAGCTCTGTGATAACAGATGTTACCGTCTCTTTCTTCCTGGGCTGTATGCTGCTAACTATCACACAAAGCTGAAGGTCACATGTCTGTGTTGTGACGATAAGACAAGGTCACAGCAAACTTAAGCAGCCGGTTTTGAGCCAGCAGCTCAATGGCTTCAGTATTTATTTGACCGTGGCCATTGACTGTCTGTGGCACCTTATCTTGTGTGGGTGCTTTACTAACTTTACTCTTTGACACCTTTCTAACATGATATTGACCCTGGAAACATTCAAATTGATCTTATTTAGTAAAAGCCCTTTATAAAGTTAAATTATCGCTAATATGTGGTATTTGAAAGAAATAGCTCTTTGTTTATTTATTTATTTTTTACAGCAGGAAATTGTTAAAACGTCTTCACAGCTCTCATTAATTGGCCCAATTCTAAATAATGAGACATTACAGTGGTACATATTGATTTTCTACATTGATTTTTCTCTGCATTCTCCTCCACAGAGGTTTTTTTCTTCTTCTTCTTTTTACACAAATCAGTAGAGCAGTGCTGTTATTGTTAACTAAAACTATTACAAATGGCTTTTGGTAATTGAAATAAAACTGAAATGAAATTGACAGCACCAAGCGAATCCGAGCGGTGATGATTCGTTGGATTCAATAGTAGAGGTGTGAATAAATTCTAGTCAATTTCATTCTTAACAACGTACAGTTGGAAAACGGAATAAAACTCGAGCGTTTGAGCAAACGAACACGCATCTCCAACCCATATTGCTCCGTGACGTGTCAACAGTCACTTTGGTCAGGTGGTCTTTATAGCATAGGGGGCGGGACGCTTTAGATTCTAGAGAGCATTTGATTGGACAGAAGATGTGCTGAGAAGTTGAAGTCCGCACTAAAAATCTGTGATCCATTTTAGCGGAAGTGAGAGACTGTTAAGTTTTAAATGCTTATATCTCCTAAATTCAAATTTTGTCATTATTTTGGAACACACCAGCTTATGGCTAACATATTCATACTAAAAGCTAAAAAAATTCAATTTTGATTTCAGGGGGTCTTTAACTGAAATAAATAAGTTAAAGTTGAAGTACCAAAATTACTACAATTAAAGTATTAATTAACTATGAATGAATTAAAAATAAATTAAAGCTGAACATTTTTTTTTTAAATCAAAACTAAAATGTAACAACAAACACACACAAATATAAAAAAAAAGCTATATTCAAAATATTGATAAATATTATAATAGTATATAAATAATGATAAAATAACACAGCAATAGAGCTCTAAATTTAAACCCCCTAACCACAAAACGTACTATGGAATTTCCATGTTTGTTTGTTGAAAATGTACTATGGAGTTGTCAATATTTGTTGATAAACCATGTGGGTTTTTTTCTGTTTTTTTTTTCATGGCAGTATGTCCCATGTTTTTTAGGGGTAAGTCCCATAGTACCATTGTTTTAGTAGATTTTTTTGTATATTTGATTTTTAGTATTTAGATATTTGACTGTGGCTTCCCTGCATTTCATTGTTTAGTGCAAGATCGTGATAAGGATATAAATGTATCCTCATTTACTGACTGTATTATATGTCTGTATGCACCGTCCTCTCAAAGGCGGCTGTACTTGATCACACAAGTGAATAGATTGGGTACACCTTCAGCTTGCGGATGCGGAGAACTCTATTTAACACAGTATTTGCATTTTGATGGGTGTCTAAATGTAGGCAGGAGACAGTTTTCATCAGTATGCAGTTGTTAAACTATCCCCCGTTCTACACGATGGCTTCTTTCACACAGCAAATAGGACTTTGTTCAGCTCTGCTCAGTTTCACACACACAGACACACAGCAGATTGATTAGAGATATTCAGTCCAAGGTCATTTCATCTTTAATTAATTATTAAAGTGTTCGGCTGTTCTTGCGGGTGCAGAAAGCAGATGTATGTTTGATGTGAGGTATGTAGGTCGCATGTACTGCGTTTTCATCTTATAACTACTGTCTGTGAACCATATACAGAATTTTTTTGATCTGCTGAATCTACTTAGGCTCATCTCACTTCAAAGGTCTATTTGAAAAAAATACATTTAAACTATGGATTATTGTGAAATGTCACTCCAGTTTGCAAATTTACTCCGGTGAGAGGTCGTAGTTTTCGTGAAGGTGTTGGTTTTCAATAAAATGTCACTAAAACCTTCTTTAAAACTGGCACTTTTTGCACATGTATCTGAGTGAATCTCAAGAAAACATGTCCATGGCACATTTTACCCTAACATTTAAAAAAAAAAAAAATATATATATATATATAATAAGAAAAAGTATTTTGCATAAAGAAAATTAAGCCTGTTACTCTCATTTTACTGCATTTATTTTAATCATTTTCTAAATTAGTAAATTAATTATTCTCACCAATCATCCTTATTAGATTCTCATTACTGTAACGATTTTTATTTAAATCAGCATAAACTGAAGCCAGTACAACAAATACTACCATTACTATACATTTAAATGAAAATTTATTTCTTAAATTATATATATATATATATATATATATATATATATATATATATATATATATATATATATATATACATACACACACATGCATATTACATGATACTACTGAGAATTAGACTTTTTAAGTCATATTTATGCAAAAAATGTGACAATGCAAATAAAAAAAAATCCTTAAAGCAGTGGCTCTCAACCTTTTTAACACGAAGACTCCCCACTGTCCAACACAATATTTACAGTATTTCTGCATGTTTTCAAACTTCTGAAACAGAGTTTTGTATCAAATAACTGAACCATGATTAATTTGGTGATTCCAGATGTTTCAAGTATTTCAATAAAATGCTATAGTTATTGCTGTATTAGTTATTGATGGAATAGTTAGCACATAGCTGATGTGTTTTTCGATTTTAATTTGATTACCAATACTTTTAAGTCATCTTGTGCTCCCCTTGGAAATTTGCCGAGGCCACCTAGTGGGCCCTGGGCCCCTGGTTGAGAACCACTGCCTTAAAGCAAAATATAATTCCTTTTCTTTCATCCAGATGTGAAATATGACTCATTTCCAACAGGTTTTGTGAGGTTCGCCCAGCTATAGATTTCCATGTCTCGTAAAACATTTGAGAAGGTCATTCTTCAGAGAGATGACACCTGTATTGTTACCATGATGTGGAGAGATTCTGGTTGTATTGTTGTTCTCCATTGTTGGAGCGTTCCGACACTCCCAACACAACAGGAACCAAACCAGACTGTTGTCTCGCTTTTCCTGTAATGTGAACATTCGCCTGATACAGGATGTATTTTCATGCTAGATGGATTCCTGTAACAGTGTGGATTTGAGGGAACGTTTGATCCTGCGAGGGAGGGAGTTTCATATGTCACTTCATGTTTTTCCGTAGGGCAGCTGAGGTCCTCTACTCTCTGACCTTGGCCAGCATTCAGAAGTACGGCCGGCCCAGTGAATACCCTGCTGTGGATAATTATAAGTTACTGACAGAAGCCAGACGCAATCTCGGTCTCTTCCAACACCATGATGCCATCACAGGCACAGGCAAAGACTGGGTGGTTGTGGACTATGGAACCAGGTAGCACATCTTTCTCGAAACATAGAAGTGAGGATGTGAGATACATTCTCTTATCCAACCAAGTCGCTCCAGTCACTGTTCCCCTGGCTTAAGTGTCTTAAGCCACCTTTTCACTATATTTAATATTCACATATGATTATCAGATTTTGTCCCAAAGTGGCAGTCACACAGAACTTTCAAATTGGTTGTGAAGCAGCCGTTATCCTCCGCTTAAAATAACCATGATAAAATTATACTAATAATGGGTCTCATTCATGAAACACGAGCAGAACAAATTTTTGCGTAAATCATGTGTAAAGTGGTTCTGGCGTTAATTTTCGGATTCATTAAAATGTTCGTATTTTCCAAATGTTAGTTGGTACACAAGAAATCTACACCTGCTCCCAGCCACGCGTAAATAGTGCGCTTAACACCCGAACGTTTTGCTCATTAATAAGGCTGCATTTTAATTCACCTTAATCGGGTACATATTTGCACAGCATTTTGAAAAAATATTATATATAGTAATTACATACGTTTTTTCTTATTATGAGAGCCAGAGTAATAGCATCTGCGATGGTGGTCCTTCTCCAGTTTGAATACTATTTTTCCGAAGTGAACTAATTCGTTTTTTGCTCTCAAGCTTAATGTCGAACCATTTTCTTCTCACTTCTGGGAATGTTCGATTAACAGATGAAACTCCATTAACTGCATCTGTAATATGCTGCCAAGCTTCCTTTTTTTTTTAGGACCCGATATGCCACTATGTAGGCTTGAAAATAAAATGTGGCGTTTTGAATGAACTTCTGATAATAAAACTTCAATTTCTGCATCTGAGAATTTTTTTTTTCATTCGCATTCATGTCATAATATGATGCCCATATATAGTTGTCAGTTGGATTTAAAGGGCGGGATTTATGCTAATTGAGAATGAACGTGCACGCGCATCCCATTTACGACTGATTGGAATTCATTAACACACACACACACATTTCACTATCACATCTGACGTTTACGAAGTATTTGTGAATCAGGAGAAGAGTTTTCGGGAAGGTCTCTTTACCTTCACTCGCATATTTACTCGTATATTTACGAATGTTTCATGAATGAGACCCATTGAATTTATAAATATATCCACTTAGAACAAAAGACTGCCAATGTGTTTGAAAGGAAAAACAATACGTTTTCTAGGGCTAATCAACCTAAATGATTCTTTAATAATTGTTAAACAATTATTTTGGACATAATTATTCATAACTGCCCATTTTAAAGAATAACATTTAGTGGACAAATATTGATATTTAATATATACCATGGTACTGAATTATTAAACTGTCATATGTGTTTTTCAGTGGCCTATATAATATTAATAATATAGAGAGCCCAATGGCTGATTTAATGATATGTCATATAATTTATTTACAGCAAATGAGATATTTATCGAAATACACTACTGTTTAAAAGTTTGGGGTTTTTAAACAACAACATTTTTTTTATCAAAAATACAGGAAAAACAGTAATATTGTGAAATATTATTACAATTTAAAAAAAATATTTTACAATGCTATTCCTGTAATGGCAAAACTGAGTTTTTAGCAGTCTTCAGTGTCTCATGATCCTTCAGAAATAATTATAATATGCTGATTTGGTGCTCAAAAACATTTCTTATCATCAATGTTGAAAATAGTTGTGCTGCTTAACATTTTTGTGGAAACCTTGATACATTTTTTCCAGGATTCTTTGAAGAATAGAAGTTAAAAAGAACAGTATTTATGTGAAATAGTATTATATATATTATATAATATTGTTACCATTTGAGTCTTTACTGACACTTTTTATCAATTTAATGCATTCTTGCTGAATATTAATTTTCCCCCACAAAAAAACAAACAAAATAAACAACTCACTGACTCATTTGAACAGTAATTTAGAACCTTTTGGTTGACAGGCCAGATTAACCATTAAGCCACACAATTTCCAAAATATTAGTTTATATGAACTTTACCTTTCTCTTAAAAATGTCTAACAATTGAAAATATGAACGGTTAAAAAAAATCTGATTCTTATTATCTTATATTATCAGGCAAAAAAGACCAGAATAATAATTAAAAATATTAGCCATTATGGTTGCTGTTATAGCAAGCATCCATACTGAAATACATTACTGCTTGTTAAAAGTTTCATTTAGCCAGTTTCACTTTCTGGCATATATACATATATATATCCGTGCTGTAGAAACATGATGATCTTTGTTATTTTTAAGGTTGTTTCACTCTATTCTGAACCTAAAGCGAGTGATTGTGAGCTCGGCTCATTGGTTGGTGCTCAAGAATAAACAAACATACTACCATGATCCTTCAAATCCATTTCTTCAGATGGTGAGTGTTCATACTGCATATCCGCAACATGCTGGCATAACTCCTTAATTTGGAAATTGCCATCTGCCCCTCACATTTTTGCTGGTTCTGTATTATAGGATGACGTTCAGCCATCCCAAGACGCCCTACCTCGCAAAACTGTTCTTGAAGTTAGTGAAAAACAAAGGTAATGCAAAAACAAAGCAAAATCAATGTTTTTGTAGTGCTTTATAGCAGACTAACTTTGAGTTCCTGAGAATGGCTTCATGGTACATGTGTTAGTTGACAAGAGGCAGCAGAATTTGTGTGGCAGAAAATGCTACATAAAAATGACGTTCCCTTTTCTCAGGTTGCTGGTAGTTTCCAACCCCACAGAGCAGGCCAGGTCATCCATGGTTACAGTGTACGTGAACACTGCTAACGTGCGCGTGCTTAATGCTCTTGGTCATGTGGTCCGCGCTCAAGTCAGTGCAGTGTGGAATGATGCCACTCATGCTGCTGCCGACGTCTTCCAGGTGAGGTCTGCTACATCGATGTGATGCATTGTAGATGTCCATGTCGGTTAGTTTGAGGTCATCTAAATGCTCTTCAAGCCATTTCATGGTGTCTTTAAATGTGTTTCTTTGCTCCTCGGCAGTTGTCTTTCGTGGCTCACGCTGCTCCTCTGGGTCTGAGCGTGTACCAGCTGATGGAAGGAATGGAGCCAAGGACAGAAGCTGCTAAGTACATGTTTCTTCAGGATGGCGGCTCCATTTCAGTCAATAAATTGGAGCATTTCCGACAGTTCTACCAAAACGATGTAGCTCCGGTGCACATTGAAAATCCTCACCTCAAACTCTCCATCTCTACAGCTACAGGTCTTTTAGAGGTTAGACTGCTTTGTGGGTTTGTCATATGGTGATATGTTTAGGAATGACTCTGTGTAACGTTCAGAAAACATCTCTTGTTTGCAGAAAATGAGGTTGAAGGACGATGATTCAGAGCACCAGGTCAAAGTGGAGTTTGTTTGGTACGGCACCACCAGCAATAAAGACAAGAGTGGCGCCTACCTGTTCCTGCCTGACAAAGAAGCAACAGTCAGTACTAAACGTTTTTTTATTATTTCTTCGATTAATCGGTTATTCTATATCTTGCCCAACAGTATTCATTTTTTGTTGGGTTGCTTTTTTCTACATTTTATTTCTAGACGTAGTAGTTGAGGGAGACAGGAAATCAAGATAGGGGAGATTGGGTTACAATCATGATTAGGCCCAAACCCAAACCCTGGAAACCCATGAGCAGCACAGCTGAATAGTGGTTTTGTTGAATACTGAATAGTGGTGGAGAAAATACCGGCTTTCGAAAGTGATTACAAATGTGTGAAATGCATGACCCCGGGTTGGTTGCTTTCCACTACAAATGCAAAGTTGAACCAACGTTAACAGCCCTGAATGTGATTTCGCAAGCCGTTGACCCCTCCTAGAAATATAAATGTGACTATTGTGCCCTGGCTCTGGTGCAGGAGAAAATGTTACAGTAAGCATCACAGCAGAGTTAATACAGGACAATGAACTGAAGTAAACAGAGGGCTGAAATGGAAACTAACAAAGCAGGAACTAACAAACTAAAAGTGTTTGGAAAAGTAAACACAAACTTTGATGTGACATTATTATTGTATTCATTTTATTATTATATTTTATTTCCATTGTACCATTATTACATAAATATAATTTGCTACAAATGAATAGAGGTGCAGGAAATACTGAGTCACATTTTCACTCACTTTGTAAGTAAATAATTAGAATATTTTCATTTTGTGTTAATATTCCTTTAATAACAACAACTTTTATTTTTGTTGTTGTTATTAAAGGAGTAGTAACAATAGTAATAATAATAATTATTAATAATGAAAAGTTTATTTCCATTGCACCTTTCTTCAATCTTCAATCGGCCTGTATTTCGGTCTTTCGACGCAGCCCACAACAACTTCGCCAGGCTTTTCGGTCCCTGGCCAGACCCATCCAGTCTCTGCCGATGTCTTGTCTGAGCGAGTCCCGCCACCGGGTTGCGGGGCGGCCGAGCGGTCTTTTGATGTCGAGTGGCAGCCATTCTGTCACGGTCATCGCCTACCTCCAGGCCAAGTGTCCAGCCCAGCGCTTCTTGTCCTGGTTGACGGCGTCCTTGATCTTGCTCGTCTTTCTCAGTAGCTCGTTGCTGACGCCGTGAAGCGTCCTCTTGACGCCGACCATCCACCGCTCAAAGGCGTGTTGGGTCACTGCCAGCTTCTGCCTGTCGACCAGGTCTCGACCCCGTAGAGCGTGGCCGGTAGGACGGTGCTGTTGAACAGGTGGGTGTTGGCGACCACCACTGCTATGGACCCAGGTGGCCCTCCGTCGGCGTGCCAGCTCGCGGTTGTTCTTGTGCCCAGTAGTCAGCTCCGGGCCGAGGTAGACGTAGCCGTCGACCTGCTCGATCTCCTTCTGGCCGATGTGGATGTTGTTGTTGGCGGCCTGGGGTTTGCGCATCCACTTTGTCTTGGCCAGGTTCATCTTCAGGCCGACCGCTGCACAGGACTGATCGAGCTGGTCGAGTCGCAGCTGCACATCGGCCACTGGCTCGCCGATTAGGACGATGACGTCGGCTAAGCGCAGATGGCTGAGCCACTGGCCGTTAACGCTAATACCCTTGTTGTCCCAGTCGAGCTGTCGAAAGACGTGCTCCAGACACACCGTGAACAGCTTGGGCGAGATTGGGTCGCCCTGCTTGACGGCGACGGGGGATGTACAGTGGCCAGTCGAACAGGGTGATGTTGGTGGCGCATCCGCTGTTCAGCTTCTGCAAAAGGGCCACGTACTCGTCGGCGACGCCCTGTTGTTGGATGGCGAGCAGTACGCCGTTGATCTCCATGCTGTCGAAGGCCTTCTCGTAGTCTACGAAGTAGTGCTGGGTTTCGATTCAAATTTCAAGAATCGATTCGATTCCGATTCTCAAGATCTTGAATCGATTATCATTATTCGATTCGATTCGATTCGATCCGATCCGATCTTCGAGATTAAGATAAGTGTTTTTGAAAAAAGCATATTTTTTTTCCAGCTGTTGAATTACAGGACTGTAGTTATGCAACATATTGATACAATTATTATAGACATTTAACTGCAAATTAATGGAGTATTGATGGTTGTAAAGAACAATCCCCCTTCCAGAGTGTTGATACAACTGCTTTCACAAACTTGCACTGGTGTAGACGACAGAGGACGCAGAGGTATCAGCAGCAGTAACCGCAGAGGATTGCAAGTAACCGCAGCAACCGCGATATTCACGTTTTTTTATAAGGCTATACCCTTCTTGTTTTGAACTTCATGCATGTGTATTGAATGTTAAACAAGTTCATAATGATAACAAACAAGACTGTTTATCGTGGTGATGTGTAGCCTACAGAGGCTTCGCACAGACAGTGAATGAGAGAGATCGGCAGAGCGCGTGCGATTACCTGCGTCTGTCTTTGAAGTCATATGTATTTGTGAAAAAGGTTGCCGTGTCAAAGGAAAGCGAAATATTTGTCGTATCATCCTTTTAACGTTCACGTCACGGGTATTTACCATAAATGCGCGTCAGCAGCAGCGCTGGTCAGCATCCCACTGCGCGAGGAAGCCGCGGGGAAATAAAATCAGCGAGTCACGCATTGAATCAATGCCATATTGGTCTCTAATAAGTGAAGCATCAGCTTCAGCGTTACCCATGCGACGTATTGCTGCTCAGCTGAGCCTTGAAAAGTGGAACTCAAAGTTAAAAAATAATTAACACCTTGTTTCATTACATCTCTTTTAATGAATCAGCTTTTTTGAACGTGTTCGTTGAATGAACGGTTTAATGACTCACTCAAAGCCCGTTGTCGTAACAATGTGCGCGCTGAGTGAAAGCCTTTCAATGCGCATACAGGGATCTCCCAGTCGCGGCAAGTTAAAGTTCACGGGGAAAATGTAAACCTATTAAAATCGATCCTCTGAGTTACGGATCGATCTTTAGAAATTAATATGAAAATCGATTCAGAATTGGTGAATCGATTTTTTCAACACAGCACTACTACGAAGGCCAGCACCAATAGAGGTGCAGGAAATTCTGGGTCACATTTTCATTCACTATTCCTTTAATAACAACAACAACTATTATTATTGTATATATATAATAATAATAATTATTAGTAGTAATAAAAACTTTGATTTAAAACTAAATTTTATTACATTACACCTTTCTTTCTTAAACAAGTATAATTTATCTAGCCGTGGTTCCACTGCTGAATAGTGCTGCAGGAAAAACTGGGGTTTAAATCGCCCCCTCCTATAAAAACTGTTTATTTGCAGCAGGCTTGCAGTTAATTTGTGGCAAACAAATGATTGCTATGAGAGTTTGCTGAAGCGCTGAATTATTTGGTAAAGTTTCATTGAAACTTATAACATCAGTGTGTGTCATTCAGCTGATTAGAGTTATAAACGTAATGGCAGTTTGGTCACTGCTCACAGAGAACACTGGGAAACCTCATAATAGCTCACCTCAGTCTTTCATCAGGACATTTTTGTCATGCAGTGTTTTTTGTATCTCTGCTTTGAGGGGATTTTTATGAGTGTGATTTGATTCACATTGATTTTCTTTCTCTCACACACAGATTTACTCTCCCTCGCAACCGCCGGTGGTTCGAGTCACTAAAGGGCCGTTGTTTTCTGAAGTCACCACTACCTTCACACACATCAAACACACTCTCCGGCTCTACAACATCCAGGGTAAGAGAGAACTGGAAACACTCAACAACACCTGCACTTCTTACTTTCACTTATTCAAATAGCCACCACTATTATGTAAATCAAATATTTACACCAGGAATTTGCAAAACGACATAATTTCAAATTTGACTAGTCGAGTTCCTGTATAATTAAGAAGGTTTCTGGTTTTTGTTTTAAGCCGAAAGTCAGCGGTGGGAGGGCAGCAATGTAACCTCAGGAAGTTGATTGACCCCTGGGATATGATAGTGAATTTCGAAATCCTTGAAGTGCTGCTGGATGACATCCTTTTCTTTTCCAAGTAATGTTTGTTAAGAGAGCCTTTTACTTAGTTCTATAGCAGCTTGTTTTGCACAAGTCTTTTTTTTTTTTTAATTGGATGCAGTACAAAGCTTTTTCTAGCACTGTTCTTGCAATATTAATCTTTGAAGTTTGAAGGTAATCTTTCGAACGTTCCTCAAACTTTAACAAACAATTTGAACTGTGTAATTAGCAATGACAAAAGAGGCAGAGCATTACATCAACAAGGTACAAAGATTTAATCAGCATCAGACAAGGACGTTTGATACCGGACAAAAGACAGTCCAGCAAAAGTTTAATGGTGTGCTGAAAGTGGGATCATTCAGTTTTCATGCTTTTCTTATCAAGAAGCACCAGGGCGTTCGGTTTGTGACCCCCTCTGGGTGGGTGAGATAATGTACATGAGTGTTTTTGAAAGAGCGGAGCAGTCACATGAGCCATTGCCCCGTAGCCCTAGGGACCTTTCCCCCCAGTGGTGTTTGTTTTTTTCCAAAAAAAGAAAAGAAACCTCTCGTGGGTTATTCCCTTGAGTTAAAACTGAATTTAAATTGCAAAGTTTTAGAAGAGGAACCTTTTCTCACACAGAAAATAGCTGTCCCTCTTTTGAGATTTTGAAGGAATAGCTCATATAAAAATATAATTCTGTCATCATAATTCTAAAATACACAACAAACGACATTTTGAAGAATATACTGGCCGCTCTTTTCCATGCAGTTACAACAAATAGGATGAAGCTATTAAGCTTCAAAAAGGACTCAAAGATATCAAGTGTTCATACAATAGGTGTTATTCACTGGTAATCTTCCCTTCCTGTGGACTGATAACCAGCTCATTGAGAACCTGATCAGTTAGATTTGTGAATGAATCATTCGGGGGGGTGTTTCCCAAAAGCATTGTTAGCCAATTATGGTCGCAAGTTCCGTCGTTACCAGCGTAGTTCAACGAATCAGTGTTTCCCGAATCCATCGTTCTAACGAACATTCGCATACAACATCGCAAAGTTTTGTGGTTGGAACGACAGATCTCAACCTGTGGTTAGAAGTATAGTTTCTAGATTGCATGACATGTGGACTTAATAAATCCTTGTCTTGAGCAAAATAAGCCAGCTGACATTCAGTACAATCTGTATCTTTCATTTAGAATACATACAAATGTCATTTACGTCTTTTAGTTTGTCTCGAGATTTAAAGCACCATTTTTGAAGAGTGTGCATGTGCGTAAGTGCTCTATTACGTAAGAACGAGCCTTTGAATGAATCTAAAAATAAAGCAAAATAACTGAGAAAAATGAGAAATAGTCCTCAGATGCCATGTCCGTAATTTATAGTTTTGTAAATCAAATATCGGTTCACAAAACCTGGTTTTGTGAAACGGGTCAACTGATTCATTTCATAGATCCAACCCAAGAGAATGATCCATTCATGAAGTCGTATGGACTACTATTGTTGAACTTTAATGCTGTTTTTTGTAATTTTTGCACACAAAAAAATACAGTAAAAACTGTACTATTGTGAAATATTTTTGCAATTTAAAATAACTTTTATCTTAATTTATTGTTTGAGCACATGGCTTGGGATTGTGTTCACTGGCCATGTGCTCGTGTTTTTGTCATGTTTGTTTCGATGTGCCCTTATTACCTTATTATTGGTTTATTTGTCCCACCTGCTGTCCCTAATTAACCTCATCATTTCCTCTCCTATTTAGGCTACGTTCACACTGTCAGTCCAAATCCGATTATTTGTGTGTCTGATTGGAATCTGACCAAAGTTATTGACTGTCCACGTTAGCTATGTTCACACTGTCTGTCCAAATCCGATTATTTGTCTCTCCTATTGGAATCTGACCAAAGTCATTGACTGTCCACGCTGTGTATCGCAACTGTTCTGATCAGATTTGTGTGTCTCGTGGCGCTCTTTCGTTTTCCGGATTATCTGTATTGGTTTCTTGGGCAATGACATTGCTTTGGTAGGCAAAAACAACAACAATCAGAGGTTTACAATACAGTTGTTGTCTTATTTACAACATGTGTAGCCACCGTGCTGGTCTACTGTATCTTATAAGGCAGCGACAGCAATGTAGGAGGCTGGTATGCGAGGCTTATTCTGTTGCTGTCGTCTCCACCGGTCTCAAAATTCAACACATAATTTTCTGCTCGACCAGCACTTTGCAGCAACACAACCTTGTTTCTTCAGCAACTTTCAGCATGCTTCCTATATCAACATCTGACATGTTTACGTTTTAATCCCATCAAAGCAGACTGAAACAGATTTCCAGAAATGGAATTGAATCAGATTTCAAACCACATATGAATGTTGCTCAAAGCAGATTTGTAAAAATCGCATTTCATTTTCATCTTTTTTTTTTTTTTGGTGCCATTCACACTTGCTGAATATGATCGGATTCCAATCGGATATGCACAGAAATCAAGATTTGTACTGACAGTCTGAATGAGGCTTTAGTGTATCGCAACTGTTCAGATCCGTCCATTCGTTTTGTTTTTCTGCAGCGACTTTCAACATGTTTCCTATAACAGCGTCTGACGTTTACATTTGACTTGACGTGAGAAAGTCACATAAACCACGCAAACACCAATCAGAGTGATCAGACTGAAACGGATTTACCAGAAATGCGATTTTGAATGGGATTTCAAACCACATATGTGGCTCAAAACAGATTTTTTTCTTGTTGCTGTTTACACTTTCTAAATCTGTTCGGATTTCAATCGGATATGCACAAAACCGCATTTGGAATGACAGTCTGAACAAGGCTTTATTCTCCTTGTGTTTTCTGTCCTGATCTCTATGATGATGTCTAGAGATAGTTTGGATCCCTTCTTTAGTGTAAATCTAGGATTTTTCCACCAGCTGAACATCCTAAATCAGAAAATCAATAGCACACACCTCCTCAGCAAGCCACACTGTTTAAGATACATTTACTACATATCCATTCCAATCAGTATCTCTCAATATAACCAATATTGCCCAGTGAGGGCTGCACACTAAAAGTGTTGCGTTACCATCTCCCAATGAGCTAATGAGGACACACTCATGTTGAAGATATTCCGAGCTATCGTACACCATAAAAACAACCTTGTTTTCGTGGTTGTGCTGCTAGAGCATGTTCTTCTACCTTTAAGGGGTTTTAATTTTAATTAAAGGAAACTGAACATATTTGTTTCTTGCACCGTTTTATTCCCAGAGGCTTAATTAGTCTAATTCAAAATGTACATTTAACATGTAGGAGTGTTCACTTATTTTCATTGTACTTGGTGAATCTAATTGCTCATATTGTCATCCGGCTTAATCCAGGAACACCATAGAGAAAAACATGCAAACAAGTTATTAAAGTTAAAAAAGGGAAAGCAGTCATTTGCCACTGGAAAATGTACGATTTGTAGTATTTTGATAGTTTGTATGTGATTATGCACGTTTAATGCCAAACAGTAAATGTGCAGTTGTTTGGTCCATTATTAACCTAATGATACTTATTGGTCTATAAGGAAGTGGTCTTCAGTATACAAACAATGACTTTACAAATTTCCTAAAACAATCGGTGTTCCACAGATACAATAACAGTATATGTTTTTGAAACAACATGAGAATGATATTTTGGGTGAACTATTCCTTTAATAATGGGAGAAACTGTCGTTTGGAAGTGGAGGAAACAGATGTCCAATCCCTTTTCTATTGCCTGTGCTCAGTCAGTCATTTTGACCCCCTCTCTCTCTCTCTTTCTCATAGGTGTGGAGGGTCAGTCTGTTGAGATCTGTAACACTGTAGATATAAGAGGCGAAATCAACCATGAAATTGCAATGAGGATAACCTCGGATCTGAACAGCAAGGATCGATTCTTTACTGACCTCAATGGCTACCAGGTAGGACAACAGTCCATTATTTATTTTCTCTTTCCTGACACCCACATACACATTAAAGTTCACACAGTTTATATGTAAGTGTGAATTATAAAGGCGTCTAGTGCTGCAGTTGGTGGTGGGCCGGGGCTTGGCGGGGGATCTGCGGATATCTCTCTGAACCAGCCCATATTTACACTGACTTTATACTGAGCCGAACAACAGTGTAACTATATGGAATTACCTTTGTCTTTTTTATGCAATCAAGCAAAAATAACTATATTATAATTACAAAATAAAAGATTCCAAATATATCTAACGCACTCTGCAATGCTAGATGTCAGCGTCAGACTCACACCAGGACCGGGTAGTGGGCGTGGCCGAATTATTGTGCCAAACGAGAGTGACCAATTGAAACCGGTCTTTCATTATGGTGCATGCTGAAATGCAGCTTCACTTGAATTCAAAACTTTTTCAGCAAACAATGACAGCAGAACAGGGAGCAAATTTGTGCATGCGTGATACACTGCACAAAGAAAAAGATTTACTTGCACTATAAAGAGTTTTTTTATCTGTTAGTTTATTTTTTTGGAATTAAAATAGCTTTTTTAATGTGCAATCTTTTGTAATTGGTAACTCCATATTACTGTTACTAAATTCATCCCATCAAAACAAAATAGTTTTGCTGTTATTGTCAAAAGTTATTAAAAAAATAGAGCAGTCAGTCTAATAAAGTATTAATCGTTTAAATATTTAATCATTTAAATTAATAATTCATATTTATTTCAATATTTAATTTCAATATTAATAAAAAATATATATGTCTAGTTAACACCTTCAGTTCCATTATTAAAGAAAGACATTGATTTTTTTTTTTTTATCAAGGATGCATTAAATTGATAAAAAATCACAGTGATAAAGTGACAATAAAGAATGTTACAAAAGAACTTTCTATTCAAAATGTAACATGGTTCCCACTAAAATATTAAGCAGCACAACTGTTTTCAACATCGACGATTATAAGAAATGTTATTTGAGCTCCAAATCAGCATATTTGAATAATTTCTTAACGACCATGTGACACTGAAGACACAATGTTATTACTTTTTCTGTGTTTTTGATCAAATACATAAAAAATATAGCTGCAAGCAGCCATTAAGTGGCCAAGCACCACAGAGACCGAATGAGGAGCTAAAAATCAAGGCAGTGAGCATCACACCAACTGCAAAAAATGAGTAAAGACATTTGGAGACGATTTTAAGCAAAATCGTTGAAAGCCCATATAAATACAATCACTTGGAATGTGACAATTGCTTATTATTTTTGACCAATATGTGGTGCTGACAGCAAATTGATCTATTGTGGTCAGTGAGTGAGTGAAATGGTTCCCACGCTTCTTGAAAGTACTTGAATTGCAGACACATGGATTCAAGGCCTGGAAAGTCTGTGAAAATAGGTCTTTGAAAGTGCTTGAATTAAACTGGAACTACATTTTGTTAGAGTGGAATGCTACTGTTACAAAAATTGGCCTTTATGCGCTGCAAAAGCCAGAATGAAATAGTGCTACTGTATGGGAGGAAAGTGGGGGAAAAAAAAAATGAGTGCCTGGATCATAGAAACAGCCCTGCATGATAAACGTGTGAAAAACAGTTTTATCTATCGACGCTAAATCCATAATTTTTTACGACATTAGCTGAAGATGATCTGACTCGAATCTGGTGAAAATCAGACCATGGAGGAGTTTAAAAAAGTAGGTTAAAATAGCATAAGAAAGTTCGTCCGACTATGGCAAAATTGGTATCTATGTTTTTGGCATGACCCAAGGAATCTATTAAAACAATTTCATTATAATAGGTATGCTGCAGTGCTTCACCGAATCTAAAGAGACCAGTCTTGTGATTTTCGGTCTAACTGTTCAGAAGTTAATAGCAAATATAGCATTTTACAACAAAATTCAAAATGGCCAACATGGGAAAATTTGATATCGTCCGACTTGGCATGCCTCCCCTAATCTGAAGAGACAAGTCTCAGGAGTTTTGGTCAAACTGAACAGACGTTATATGCAAAAATATAAATCTTAAATTTTTCTGACCACTAGGTGGCACAGTGGCGAAACACTGCATGTACCTTTGGATCTGAATACGCTAAAGTGATGCAGAGATACAACCTTACATCCATTTTGGTGTAAACATCGGATGAGCGGTCTAGAAAAAGTAGTTTTTATCTGAAAATTCAAATGGCGGAAACATTTTCATGACGGAAAATTATGTCATAGAATGCAATCGTCTTGTGCCAAGGAATCAGTAGAAAAAAATGTGTTTCAAGCCCTTACGGGTAAATTTATTAGCATAAGCGTGAGTGCAACTTTGGACAGTTGGTGGCGCTAGAGGGATTGAGTTAGAGACTCCCAAATGGCTGTGGTTAATGTTCAGACTGTCTTCTATCTGTGTGCCAAATTAAAAAAATTTTTACCATATGGTTCGATGGGCTTCCATACATAGTCTCAAAAGCGGAAGAAGAAGACTTAACGGATATTTAAAAAAATGAGCGACCTCAAACGTTTAGGTAGTGTATGCTCATATATAAGACTAAGATGTATAAAAACTAAACAAAAAAGAAATCATAAAATATTTATCACATTTTATCCCCAAAACCACATTAATATCAACAGAAGCTGCTCTTATGGACTGGTCAACTTTTCATTAGTCTCTGAATAAAGATTACACAGCGGAAATAAAGTAACACAAGTTCAATTTAAAAACATGATCTGAATGTGTGAGTACAGACAGCAAGCTCGTCTAATTCTGTTTACTGACAAGTAAAACTAATCAGCAAAAGTCATTAGAAGTTTGTTCATTTGCTTGAAGTGGTTGTTTTGACAGTCTTGTTTGATTTTGGTTGATAGTGTCAAAATGCAATGTTGTTGTTTTTGGACGGCATAATGAAAATGTCAGTTTATTTTTCATTTCTCCTGACAAATAATTAATCAAAACAGTTTAGAGTGTGCTGTTTGGCTGACCAAAACAAACAAGTGTCAATTTAAATCACTCTTGTCAAGTTGTCTTGACATGTTGGAGTATTAGCGTGGCATTTAATTAGCTGATGATGTCTCTCCGGCATTGGCCGGGATTAAGTGCTTCTCTTCGGTCCAAACTAATTAACTGACTTCACAAAACAAATGCCTCATGAATAAAAACAGTGGAATATCCCATCCATTTTCCCTCCAAATCACATTAACACACATCGAAGCTCATCAATTGACAGTGTTTTTCCTTCAGATAAGTGTCTCCACATGCCCAAGCTCATTGTTTTCAGGTCTCTAAACAGGGGGAATTTGGAGTTTTTTCTCTCTCTGCATTTCTAAAAATGCCTTGGGCTGTTTTTACAGGTGCAGCCGAGGAAAGCCATGGCTAAGCTCCCCCTGCAGGCAAACTTCTACCCCATGACCAGCATGGTCTATCTGCAGGACTCCAGCGCCAGACTCTCTCTACTCACGGCACAGTCACTCGGAGCGGCCAGCCTCAAGAGCGGTCAGAGTTTTAACTCGCTTCCTCCCGAGCGCTTTAAGTTTTCTTTTCATCTTAAAGCCTCATGCTTTACCCCATGTCTGTTAGATGCCATTTACACTGGGGTCCAAATTACATTTTTTAAATATATTCAAATAGAAAATTTCGACTTGTAATAATATTTCACACAATATTACTGTTTTTAGTGTGTGTTTGATCAAAAGCATTAGAGATGAGCATAAGAGACTTTTTTCAAAAAAGCATTAAAAATTCCAGACTCCAAAACAGCTAAAAGTCCCCAGACTTTTGAACCGTAGTGTATATTATAATGATGTCATCCCTAAATTCACTTAACCATCTCAACATTGATTTGACATTGACAGAACTATTGATTTTAGTTTTTAGTGTGCTATTTTTATTTTATTTTAAATGTAATTGTATAGATTGTTAATATACAAAATGAGAGGGCGACTACGGAACTGCAACGAAAAAAAAAAAAAACTTTACGAGAACTTTAATCTCGAAATATATTTCGACTTTATTCTTGTAAGTTTAGAGAAAAAAAATTACGTTTTTTTTTACGTTGCGGTTCAGGGCTTCCGTAGTCGCCCTTTCATTTTGTATACTAAAAATCTATACAATTTCATCAACAAAAAAAAAGTCAACGTCTTAGGAGGTTACAAAATATACTGCGGCGGAATAGACTTTACAGGCGAAAACACTTTTCAGACTGAATGGACTAGCCAGCTTTATATCTGAGGAAATCACGGGATCCGGCCATATGATTGGATACAGAATGATGCACTTAAAATGTATCCAGAAAGGATTTACGGTAAAGTTTGGACCAGGATTGTGGTGCTCGTCTATAGGCACGCAATCTGGGTCAAGAACACTTAACAGTAACCGTACTGTCTCCCTCTTCACCGTAAATCCTTTCTGCACCTGTAGGATTTCCTTTTGTTGAAAGCCCAGATAAAAGTAAAAAGATACTAATATGTTTAGATCCATGATTAGGCAGTTCGACTTCACAAACGCATTTCTTTACTAAAAAATAAATAAATTGAATAAAAAGAACTTCTACGGAAGACTGTATTCTTGTAATTTTTACTTTATTTTGATTTCGATCTCGAAATATTACGAGATTAAAGTCGAAATATTTCGAGAATAAAATCAAAATTACTAGAAAACAGTCTCGAAATGCTACGATTTTATTTTCGAAATACTACGACTATTCTCAAAATACTACGACTATTTTCAAAATACTACGACTTTATTCTCGAAACTTTAGATTTTTTTTTTACAGGTTTTTTTTTTTTTTTTTTGCAGTTCAGGGCTTGACATTATGAAAAAATAATTTTAAGTTTCACTCAAGTAGTTATGCTGTTCATATAAAATTGCCAAATAGAAGCTTTTTCTGTAGAGTGGTTATAGACATTTTGACCTTGCTTTGTATGCGATTTTAGTCACAACACAAAGTTAGCAAATACACTTATTATATACAGTCTTTATCTTTCTCTTGACATCATCTGGTCAAAGACATATAATATTTTATTCAATGAAGTTATCTTTACAATGAGACCTGTCTCTCTGAGTTCATTATAAATGGCAACTTAATGCTGCAACAATTACAAAACCATAAGTAAATAATTTGACAGCTTACAATTCAGACACATCATGACCATAAGGTCTGTTATCCTTGGATCTTTGCTTGAATAGATTTGGCCTATTAAATAAATAAAACACTGGCGGGTGTACAAGCGTAGGTGTATTGGTGGTGAAAACACTCCACAATTGAATGTAAAGTGCCTTTGTCCATAATTCAATCTGTCAAGTGTGGTTTTGTCAGGTTGTTTTATAAAAATAGATTTATTTGTTTGGTGCTCAAACATGGCTCAATGGTCTCATTGACTTTGGCACACATGATTTATGCATGTCCATTGGAGGCTTCAGTGAATGTTCTGGTGAAGTATGTGTGACATACTAATGAAGCTCATTGGTGTGGATTCCACAGGTCAGCTGGAGGTGATAATGGACCGCAGGCTCAATCAGGATGATAATCGAGGTTTGGGTCAGGGAGTCCTGGACAATAAGATCACTGCCAACTCCTTCCGCTTATTGCTGGAGAAGAGGAGCTCTGCGGAGGAGGTAACTGAGCTAAAGAAGATAAACATGCCATGCATCTCTTAATGACAACAGTCTGACCATTGACTCTCAGTGTCTGGATTTTGGAAATTTGGGCGTTCATTGTTTTTAATTTATCGGCATCTGTTGATATTGGATATTTAATTGCACATGCTCATTTATCCTTTTTTTTTTATAAAAATTTTGATTTACTTTGCCGTCATCTAACACTCATTTAAAGATAATCTTTAAAATCACTAATAATTTAATAACACCATTAAATGTGATCTTTAGCCAATCTAAAAAAAAATGATATCCCTTTTTCAAATCATAATGCTGTAATGCCTAATGCTTAAATGTAAATGTCTACCTTTATTATGTATTTATTGTACTTAGGCCAGTAGACAGTAACTTGCTTTACTGTGCTTTCTTGCATTATTGTGACTATAACAATTACAAAACTACTGCGGTATTTTACAATCTAACTAAGCTGTAAACATGTTGGCAGTTTTTATATAACTTTGGGCCCTATCATACACCTGGTGCAATGCGGCGCCAGGCGCGACGCAAGTGTTTTTTTTGCTAGTTTCAGCCCGACGCTGTTATCATTTCCACGTCCTGCGCCACGTTGTTTAAATAGCAAATGCATTTGCACCCATTTGTGCGCCCATGGGCGTGCTGGTCTTAAAATTAGGTGTGTTCAGGCGCATTGTTGGAGTGTTGCTATTTTGAGGCAACTGAAATTGACTGTGCCATTGACCAACAAAAACCTGGTCTAAAGTCAATGGGGTAATATTTTTTGTTGTTATTTAAAGAGCGCGTTAGTAATGTGTGCCTATAGGCGGGTCCACAACTGTCGTACACTTTGTCCCGTAGATGGTCTGCTTGCTCGCTTTAACCTCGCGCACGAGCAGATCTGTTTCCTCTCTGGAGACACGCAATTCAGTTTTTCCGCTTGCAAATTCCGCCATTTAAATTCCGAATCCGCCATGGTGCGAGTGCAACTGGCTTTTAAAGGGATTGGGAGATGAGACTCTGATTGGTTTATTGGACGTTACGCCCAAAACACACACATTACTCATTAAGAGAATAGAGACAACCCTTTTAAACCATGCGCCGCGCGCACAGACCATTTTTCCCGTCGTTAAACTAGCAAAAGTCAATTGGGACACGCCCTTTTAACTTGCTTAGCTAAATTTTCTTTGAAATGCTGCTACACCATGAGAGTCATAGAAAAGACAATTTTGTTCTAATGCAGAAGTGTTTGCATACATGGACTTGCATTGTTCGAATGAAACAAATGAATTAAAGAGGCCATATTGTGCCCCTTTACAAAATCTGTCTACTAGAATAGGTTTTCATGCTTGAAATTTCAAAAAACATATTTTTCACATATTTGACATTGTTGCAGCACCCAGTCTGTCAGTAACTCTCTGTTTAGTTCCTGTCTCTATCAAGCCCCTCCTTCTAAAAAGCGCAATGTGCTTTGATTGGTCGGCTGGACCAGTGTGTTGTGATTGGTCAACCACTTTGAGCGAGTTTCGGAAATGTTACGCCCCTTACCATTATCACGAGTTTCAACACTACTAACGCAACTCATTTTTTTTGTGTATGCCTTTGGCGGGAATTTTTTAAATGAGGAAATATTGTGATGCGTACATTCCCGGAAAGAAACTTTAACATTACAAAACTGCAACATTACACTCTAAAAATGTAAAAAAGCATAATAGGTCCTTTCGAGTCTTAAATGTTCTCTGCTAATGGACCACTTTTCTTTCTTAGGCCCAGAATGAGGAGACCGTACCGAATAGTTATCCATCTATACTGAGTCAGATGTCGTACATGTACCTCAACCACCCCCTCATCTCGATGCCAGTCAGTCAGAACTCGGACGCTCCATCCTTGATTCCCTACAGCCCTCTGAGCGCCTCCTTCCCCTGCGACATGCATCTGGTCAACCTGCGCGCTATCCAGTCTAAGGTATGCCTCAATTCTGTTTGTATCTTCTATCTAGAGGATTTGAAAGAGAAAGCTAAAAGCTGTTTTGGTCGTAATTGGGGGGTATAGGACTGCTGGCTCAGTTCCTAAGAGGGCCATAAAGTGTATTGACCTTCAAATTGATATATCATAGTCCCATTTCTCAGGGCTGAATGATAATATTTTAAAACATGACAGGGTAAAGGTAAAAATGCTCAGAAGGGGGCTCATGGGAAAGATTTAATAGAGGATGAGAGGATGTGATTCATCCTGGCTTAAATGCTTAAAGGGATCTTATCATGAAAAATCCCATTTTGCTTGATCTTTTGAGATAAAAGACTTCATTGTACTGTCAAAACATACTGTAATTTTAAGAACTCAGTACTTCCTTTAAAGAGACTGTTTATTCGAAATTACATATAAGCACATGACTGCCAACATTAACATGTCAGATGCATATTTAGTAGTCATAAATGCTATGATAAATGGATATGGATAGTTATTAACTCCAGAAGAAATACTGTCACCCTACTGTACTCTTCTGAAGAATCCCAATGTTAGAAAGACTGACACTTATTTTGAACAATATCCTCGATTAACAGTTTATGTGGCACATTTCAGCTTGGATTGTGTGATGAATCTATCATATATTATAGGCTTAGCATGGATGCTATTGAAGGGTTGCAGAGCAAATCCGCAGTTTGTGAGTAAACAAATTCATTTCACATGCAGTGGAGTCTTAAAGGCACAGCGGCAAAAACCAAATTTGTGACTAAATTGAGTTTTGGTACATAAACTTGAATAACATTATAAGCAGACCCACAGGTAAAATTAATAATAAAAGGAAATGATATTACCCATTAATGGATATTTCACAAACAGCGTTGCTCTATAACAGGGATTTTCCCAAATCTAGTGAGCTGCCTCGCTGTCTACATAGGCAGCTACATTTTAAGGTGGCATATTAACTGAGAAGTGCACCTGAAGTGTACTTCAAATAAAAGTATTTTCAAATTTATATCAGGAAATGTCAATTTAACCATATTTCAAAGTCAAAAGAAGCAATTATGAAATTACATATAAAGATATACTTAAGTCCTACTTCAGTGGGAAGTAAAACACTCTAAAGTCCAGCTAATTGCGTTTAATATTAATTTAAATTATTTATAATACATTTTTATTTAATTGCAATTAACAAGCCGTTAAATGTCCGAAAACATTATATTTAGTTTGCACTGAAGTATATTCTTTTCAAGTATACAGTATCATTTCTGTAATAACTACTCTTTAAAAGTATGCTAAAGTGTAAATCCTTTGCTGCTTTAGAACTGGGCCAAAATAATATTATACAACAGCATTATTGTCATGGGTGGCTATGGTAGATAGCTCACGAAGACAATGGATCCTTGGAACAGTATTTAATCAGAAACTCACAGCGATATACAGGAGAAAGTAACAACTACATACAACCTGACCTATAAACTAACAACATCAACGCAAGACAAGGGAGAGACTGAAAGTGAGGGCTAAGCTAACAAGATAATTAACAACACACACCTGGACAGAATACTCAAATCAATATTTAACCATAGAAACAAACTGGCAGGGGACTAGGACGACAAAACTAATTAGCAAACCGAAACATAACACAATAAAAAATGAATCAAAAACAGCACATACACATGACAATTATATTGCTGCCTTGCCTTAAAGAAGATCTGAAGTCTAAAAATGCTGCCTAGATAGGCAGCTCTCTAAGGTTTGGAACAGAGCCGTTAAAATTTTGGCCTTTGTTTCTACCATACTACATTCATGGCCATTTTTCATTTTTTGTGTCACCATTAGAGTGTGCCAGAATTCATTCATCTACACAACAACGATATGCCAAAAATGGAGAAGTTTTTCCTTTAAATTCAATCCCCATTGACACGGATCCTCGAAAACGACTAAAAACGCTGTATTTCGCTGCCAGGCCATTAGATGGTGATGAAACACTGTAGACTGAACACGTAATAGGCATGTGCATGACGTCATCGTCTTCAGAGATTCGCGTTTTTGTTTTACACGGAGACCGTTTTCAAAAACTTGCACTTTGATACTTTCAGGCACCCAAAACGCTGCTGTCTTGTAAACGAACGGCCAAAACGCATAAAACGTTTTACATTTTTAGTTAAAAACGGTGTCGTGTAAACAGCCCCTAAGTCTCAGTTATCTGACCTCTATCCTTTTGTTTGTCTGATCAATGACATCATCAAAGTTTGAGTCTCTTGCTTGAATTATGATTGACAGATCATCTGAAAGCCAAAAAAACTCGCCTTAACTGCTGATTTGGGAGTCTGAATTCACTCTCAGTATGTATTTAAAATTGTATTAAATAAAATGATTAATAGGACAGTTGGCTGCACAAGTTTTTGGTGCACTATGTAGAATAAAGTCTATGCTAAATAATGCTTGAAAAGTTCCTTTGTTATGTGTCATGGCAATATCCACTCAAGGACACCCTCTATGCAAATGGAAAAGAAAAGTGTTTTTCAAGCATGGAAGACATTGATTACATTTCATTATTTATTTATTTTTGCACAACAAAAAACTCATCTCAGTTGTGAGAGGTTCATCGACTGTGCAGAGTGATTTACTGTTTCTGTTGTTAATCTTGTGCTCCAGGTTTACAGTGATGAGAGATTCTGCTGGGCAGAGATGTCTGTATAAATGTTTTCATAATGTCATGAAGGGGCAAGTACAGATTCGAGTGCAAATTTGATCATGAATAACGGCAGAAAAAGTTAATGGAATGTTCCGGGTTCAATACAAGTGCTACCATAGAAAAGAATTTCCACTCATTTCAGTTTGAAAAAGAAAAATGCACCTGCAATGGACATTTATGAGGAAAGACTCTGTGGGCCCTATTTTAACGATCTGAAACGCAAGTGTCAAAGCGCAAGTAACTTCGTGGGCGGATCCCGGCGCTGTTGCTATTTTCCCGGCGGGATAAATGCCTCTTGCGCCTGGCGCAAATCTAAAAGGGGTTGGTCTGAAGTAGCTTCATTATTCATAGGTGTGGTTTGGGCGTAACATGAAATAAACCAATCAGAGCGTCATCTCACATTCCCTTTAAGAGCAGGTGCGCTTGTTCTAAAGCGGATTCCTATTATAACGGCGGATTTGCCAGGCGCGCAACAGGAGTGGTTCACAGCCGAGGAGAGCAACGTTCTCGTCAGGGCCGTAAAACAGAGAAGTGACATTGGGGATTGAGAGACCCACCCAAATTAACTTCTGTTAAACAGGCTTATGATAATTTGGGTAAATGTGTAAGCTACATGTATGCTTTTATAATAAATTGTCTATCTATCTATCTATCTATCTATCTATCTATCTATCTATCTATCTATCTATCTATCTATCTATCTATCTATCGTAATAATGTATGATTTGCAAAAATGAAAACTGCTGCTTAGATGAGAGAATCAAAGTGTATGCGCGTTGTGCACACGCTACATTGATTATGGCCAAGCATGCGCCCTTAAAACAGCATAATGAACAACGCGCAACGCGCCACTGACTTTAGACTAGGTTTTTTCTGGTCAGTGGCGCAATTGTTTTATAGAACAGCAAAATAGCATGAGGGAAAGGTTGCGCCGGAACACGCCTCCTCTTTGCGCTGAACCGCCCCGGGGAGCGCAAGTGTATTTCTTAGTTAACCGACGTGTGTCTGTGGAGGGAAAAGCTAGCTTTGCGCGGGTGCAAAATAGGAATGATACATGCGTCAGTGTACAAAGTCATTTGCGCCGAGTGCAAGATAGAGCCCTGTATATTAAAAACACATGGTTTTGAGAGTATGGCCACAAGAAATCCTTCTAGAATGATTGGGGTGATTTTGTAGGAGAGTGAATCTGCATAGTAAATAATAAACAAATTATAAGCAAATAAAAAAACAGTGCTTTAAGTTTTTCAGGTCAGTCTAACAGCATTCAGGTACAAAAATTGAACAATAAAATGTCAAATAAACACTGTGTAACCCCTCCACCTGGGTCCTTCTCCAAGAATCACGACTATATGTGACTATCGCGGATGCACACATCGCGATATCGATGCTAAAACAATATATCGTGCAGCTCTAACACATGTAATTTGTCAATATTCTAGAAAAAAACTGTTTTATTCTACATGAAGTGGTTTGCCTCTTTATGGGAGCTGCAGTTTTGACATCACATGATCAGTTGTGTCATGAAATTGGCTGAATTACTACGGTACTAATAATAACAACAACAGTAATAATACTATTATTTAAAGGGTTAGTTCACCCAAAAATGAAAATACCGTCATTAATTACTCACCCTCACATCATTCCAAACCCGTAAGACCTTCTTCGTTCATCTTCGGAACACAAATTACGATATTTTTCATGTGTGTGGTGCTGACGCAGGAGCCAGCCAATCACTGCTCTATATAGATCAGTGCGGGCCAATAATGAGCCGGCGTTCTGACGTAGAACCCGGAAGCGCTGCAGTGTTTACAACGTGAGCAGTGTCAAGAGACTGACATGGAAGAGAAGAAATTGTTTAATAAAGTCATTATTTTAGGTTTTTTTTGTATTTTAATTGGGGCCTATTGTGCGATGATGTATAACTATTCGTCGACGTCTTGCTCTGGAGGCAGTTATATGCAAATTAATTTGCCCATGTGACGTCACAGGTGTCACGGCCGGTGAAGGAGATGCTCAAAATAAATCTTTAATCCAAGAATCAAAACAAGAAACAAGAGAAGAACTGAAACACAACCACGAACACACTGACATCAAACAATGCAATACAAGGAATTAACAGAGAGTGAGGGCTTAAGTTGAAGGGCAAACAAAAGAGCTAATGAGATAATTAATGAAACACCTGAACTGAGGACTCAAATCAGTCTGTAACCATAGAAACAGTCAGGCAGGGAATGGAGAAGAACTGAACCAATTTACAAACTAGAAAGCTGACCTAGACAAAGAGATGAACAGAACAGGAAAAACAGAGAAGCGCGACAACAGGTCACTCAATATCAAAACGAGCTTGATTCAAGAAATGCTTTGTTTATAATGAGGAGGATATTTGAAGCTATGAAACTTGCAGGATGTTTTAATGGTACAAGGACCTTGAAGGGGCTGTTTACACAACACCGTTTTACGGTAAAACGTAAAACTTTTTACTCATTTTGGCCCTTCGTTTACACGACGACGGCCTGAAAATGCAAACTTTTGAAAACGGGTTTCAAAGTGGAAGTTTTTGAAAACGGTCTCCGTGGAAACAATAAAAACGGGAATCTCCGAAGACGATGACGTCATTCACATGTGTATTACGTGTTCAGTCTATGGTGTTTGGTTTTAACAATGGTCGTTTGTACGCGGAAGACTCAAAGGAAAAAAACTTAAGCATATCGTTGTCGTGTAAACGTACCCTTATATGTCAAAAGATCAAGGCAAATTTGATTTCTCATATCATGACCTTTAAAAAAATAAAAGGTTACCATCAGTAACGCATAATTTTTTTTAAACAACTTGAAATCCAGCTTTGTACAGCTACACATTTCAGATCTAATATGTGTGCTTCATAAAGAATAAGTGAAAATTCATTTCTGCTTTTGAACCCCCACAATGCCTTGCCCCATCAATCCATTGTAAGTGCATTACTGTAAATGCAATCTTTGCTTCATTTACAAGCCGAAGGACTTTGAAATTCTAGCAAAATCGGCAGCCTGTCACATGCTGTTGATAAAGCCAAGTTATTTTGAACCGGGACGATTGCTTCAAGTTCCTTTTGTTTTCCGCTGTCTCAAGGAGAGACTCTTTCCATCAAGTTGAGATGGGAGAGACTCTCGCTGTGGTGCTGAGCTGCAGCTGATGAGCGCAAAGCACTGCTCCATTATTGGCTCAGTGAGAAGAAACAAGTGTTGTGTTTATGCGGCCTGAGGCTCCATCTCGTTTCTCTCGCAGGAGGAAGGGGGAGGTCCATCCGAGCAAGCTGCTTTGATACTGCACAGAAAAGGCTTTGACTGTGGCTTCTCCAATCGGAACACTGGCCTACTGTGTGCCACCACACGTGGCAAGGTAAAGCAGCAGATCACGCGGCTTCCCACACACAGACACATCACAAATTCAAAGAGAGTCTCATCGCTGCTTCTTAATTTTGGCCTGACTTTTGAAAGAACATGAGAATTATATTTACAAAGTTGTAGATTTGTTCCCAAAGGGATAGTTCGGTCAAAAACGAAAATCAGTTTTAAACATAATACACATATACCATAGAACACAAAAGGGAGAACTCAGTGGTTATTTTTTTTACCATCCAAATACAATGAAAGTTTTAATAAGGGCACAGAAGCACCATAAACGTGATCTAACAGTGTCAATTTTAACAATAACAAGTCAATTTTTGGGCGAGAAAGAAACCTACATTTAAGTTATTCACTGAAAATCTTTACCGTGAGTGAGTTTTAACCTGAGAACTGTTGCTATTGAAATGAGTGGTCTACTGATATATCGCCAAAGCAGATATATCGGCCGATATTTGGCTTTTTTTTTTTTACATATCGCCATTTTTCTGTTTGGCCGATGTGTCGGAAGCGGGACTTTTGTTTGGACAGCACTGAGAATGCCAGTGCCTGGGCACACAGTGCTCCTATTCTCCATCTTCATAAGTTTACTGTCTCTGTTTAACAGCTCTGTCTAATACATGATGTTTTATTAAAGCTACACTGTGTAACTTTTTTAGTTTATTCTTAGCTAAAAACACTTAGTTCTTTCAAAAATATATGAGCTCATTAATGTATATTTACTTCGTTCAAGTAATAAAGTATTCTCGTGAGTGTATAATATGCCATTGAAAATACATACGGGTAAGGGGTTCTAATGTCGGTCGCCATGTTGCCCCTCCATCTTGAAAGTACATTAGCCAAAGAGGGACATACCCGTTAATTCAAGCTTCGCCTTTCGCGTTTTAACACTCGATGGCACCATGTCGAATGTCATATAAATAACCTATATGTTACCTGACAAATTAAATTACTGCAAATTATAATAGTTTTCTAAAATAACCATCACTTGAAGGAACACTCATGGACGAGGTCGAACTGGAAGCCATGTTAATCTTGGACTACATTGGCCACCGTAGGAGTTAAAACGAAATCGGAATTGAGAGGAACAGAAACTAATATTCACTGGATGGTCATATATCTTTTCACTGCTAGATGGGGGTAAAAATCACACAGTGTAGCTTTAACAAAGTTCGGGAGAAGCACGTTCAGATAATTAACACGGGTGGAGAGCACTCAGCAATCATGATTAAAACGTGTATATATAGACTCAGCAGTCTCACCTCATTTCTCTGACAGTTTAGCAGCGTCCCTCCACCACCCCTTCTCCACTCTTCTAGTCCTAAACCACTTTACATACAGGGGGGAGTACTCTGGGGTCGGGCCGAATTCCGAGCTTTGAACTGTCAAACAAAGAAAGTAAACTGCGAAAAAGTAGTATAGCGTTTGCTTTTATATTATTACTAATAGAAGGGCAAACACTATATTACTTTCTCATTTACCGACAGCATTCAGCAAATGCGCATTTATATCCTTTAAACAAATCTTTGTAAAATCTTTTGTATTTTTTCCCCCTAATTTATTAAATATTAAATAAATTAATCAAAATATAAATGATATATATCGGCTTTATATCGGACACATACAGCGAGTGACGTCGTTGTTCGGGAAACACACCTCTGCTCGAATGCTCAAACAAACAGAGCAATGTTTTGATAGGGCCATAGAGTCACAGTGTTAAGGCCTGTTCACACCAAGAACTAGAACTATATTAATGTCCACACTCCAGTTATATCGTCTGTTGCTTTAAATGCTTGAGCGCTATTCTGATTGGCTGTCAGTGTTTATATCATTGATAGCATTTCTCTGTGCCACTGTTCTTATAGTTATGGATTGGACTCTTTTTGTTATATTTAGAATGATTTTTCGAACTATAATCTTTATCTTTTTAGTTATTGTCCTTGGTGTGAATGGGCCTTAACACTCTACATGGAAATCCACATACGAATGGCTTACGTAGTAACATATGAAGATAGGACAGGAGAAAGTGTTTTAACATAAAAAAAAAAAAGCTAAACTTCTGTGTGATGTTTATGTAAATAACGCAATGAGCTACAAGTCCCATAAGTAAATAAACGTTGTTTACTTTCCACTTAGTCTGAAAGGGTTTACAAGCTAAGCCTGTGAACTGTCAGATATGCTAACCGTCTCACTTTTTACAAGTGACAAATCAAAGTCTCAAGGCCGTGACTCAATGCATGCTTGAACGTGTTGTGTTGGAAATGCTCTAATCAACATACTGTTTGCTGTGTGTGTGTGTGTAGATTAATTTAGAGAAGCTCCTGACAGATCTGAAGGTGAAAAGCATCACTCCTGTTTCGCTGTCTCTGATGCACACATACAATAGCGAAGCCGACCCGCAGGAGATCAGCCTTAAACCCATGGAAATCAGGACTTACCGCCTCCAGCTGAGCTGAGCTGAGCCGCAGTCACACCGGCTCATGCACTCGAGAGCCTTCAGCCGAGGACTCGTTCAGTGACTGTCAATATAAACCTTATGCTTCACAGCAAAGTGCAATATGAAATCTAGAAGAATTCCCAACCAGCTCTCTCAGGTTATTTGAACAGAACGTGAAGCTTCTTGTGTGTGATTCACTGTGCCGAGAGTTGACGTTTCTTCTTTGCTGGGAACGTACATGTTGTCGTACGATTTTAAAGCGTTGCTACAGTGGGAATGGCGCAAGAAACGCTTTTCTTGCTTCTGTTATTTGATGAAGAGAAAAGCTTCTGTTTGATCAGAGGGCTTGTCCTGTTCAATTTATCCTCAATTCCCAGATTAAAGCTAATATATAGATTGGAAAATTGATTGGATTCTTACCTGAATTTAATTTTATCTTTCTTTTCTTTTCTTTTCATCCCACAATGTTTTACTCTGAATTGTGCCTTAGTCTCGCAGGGTGGTGTCTTTCTTAATGGATGTGATCAAATAAAAAAATGTATCATTCACTGATAATTACAACATAGAAAACACTATCAACAGACAGTAATTTTGCAATCTTTAAATTATTTCTTTAAACGTCCCTTGATAATTTCTGGCAATCCAAATGACTGCAAGTTGTGTGTGTTTATCACATTCATTGAAATGGACCATTTAATGTGACTTGAAATTTAGATTTGTGATTTTTGTCATTATCTGTTTTTTTTCCTAAATATATAGATAGTATATATTGGTCGCTTTTTTTCTTTCACTTTTGTCTATTTTATTCAGTCTGAAGGATTGTAAATAGCTTCAGTAGCAACATAAATTCACCAAAGGTTGGTGGGTGTCTTGTACTAAAGAATGTGTATTGGAGATTTAATTCCATTGTTCCCAGAGATGATAATTATCATAGAAGAAATCAAATGTTTTATTTAATATATTAGGCTACACTGTAAAACATGTGATCAATCAGTTATGACAACATGTTTTTACATTGCTTTAACTCATCAAAATACGTTAAGCATTTTTAGACCAGATTCTACTCATTTTAATGTAATTTAAGTTGAAATGACTTAAACATCCAAGTTGATTATACTTGTAAATTTAAGGCAGCGATTTACAGTGTATATGATTATAAACATGTATATATTTATATCAATAGAAATATAAATTCTCGCAATGGTTGTGTTGAAAGGAGTGCTTGATCATAAAATGGTGTCATGGTTATTATGGATTATAAACGTGATTGTGTTGAAGTTTATGAATGGAAAAAAAGCTAGATTTATTATACAATCAAACTATGCAAATGTAAATGTTTGTCTTATGCAACAATTATCTATTTTTTTAGACCTTAAATCACAGACTTCCTCTAGTTTACCTGGCAAGATCCCAATTTTACTCGGCAAAATTCTTGAAACTCTTTCTGGTATGTAGATTTGCCACACATTATGATATATATGAATGTTTTTCTCAAATGAATTGGCCTTCATTCTGGAAGTCCATTATCTGTCTTATACTCTGGGTGTCTTTGTTTAGTGTGAACGATGATCATTTGTTGACTTGCTACTGTGATTTTTTTTTTTCTTCTTCCAAATGTTAGAGTTGATTCAGCATGTTTTTCTTTTTCCTTTTATGAAAATTTCGACTGGCGTGTCGTTTCGGATGGTCAGTCAGAAGTGCTGTGATCACTGTATTCCAACTAGCTGCTTAATTCACACTTTTATGACCAAATTGGTCTGTGACTAGTGAATCAGGATAATGAAAGCAGGCCAATGCTTTCTGACCCTGTGAGAATATTCCTCTATTTTAAACTTGAAAAGTGTGGTGACTATCTGAAGAGTGTATCTTTTTACCAGTGTTGCCAATTACAATTTTAGCCAACGAATGTCTGTCTGTCTGTCATTTGAAAGGAATGTTACAGAAAAATAAAAATTGTTCAGTCTTTTATTTGTTTGAATTTTAAGGATGTTTGTCTCTATTTCTCAGTGATTTATAGACCTAAAGGTACAATCATATATTGGTTCATGGTAACTCGTAAGGTTTTGTGTTCTTTTTGACCTTTTCCATGCGTTTCTTCACGATCGCCTCCTCGTCCTCTTGCTTTCTTTTTTCCAGCATTGTCTTTTCAATCTCTTCCTCTCTTTCCATCATTATTTTCAATTCCTTTTGCCACTAAAAGTTTTGGAAAGTGTTAGAACAGATTATTAGACATTCTCTGCACATATTTCTTAGACTCTTTCTCCAGTTTAAAGCTCCTTCGGTCCCATTAACAAACAACTATTGTGTCTCTTGTTATCCGAATACTAATCTAAACTTGGTTAGGAAAGCTTAGCGTTTTGACTGGCTGATGGATTACTCGCTGAATCAAAGGGAATGCAATACTCACTTGATCTTCCACAACTTTAATCAGATCAATATCAGTCCTGGTTCTCAGGTCCAGATGAGAAGGTCCATGTTTGCCCTGTCTGATCAAATTTGGCACATGTTTGAAATGAAAGAGATGAAATTAAGTATTGTATGGTACCATGACACAGTGATGTATTATATGACAATATTGCGGTATTTTGATATATACCATGGTACTGAAACATTAAATGGTCATAAGAGTTTTTCAATGGCCAATGTAATTATACTATTGAGAGTGGAGTCGCCAATGGCTGGTATAATGATACATAATGCAATTTAACGAAAGCAAATGAGATCAAAGTTTGGGGTCTACAAGATTTAAATTTTTATGAAGTCTCTTATGCTCACCAAGGGTGAATTTATTTGATCAAAAAATACAGCAAAAACAGTAATATTGTGAAATATTACAACTTAAAAGATGTTTTCTGTTTTAAAAAGATTTTTTTTCCTGTGATGGTAAGTCTGAATTTTCAGCATCATTACCCAAGGCCCTCAGTGTCACATGATCCTTCAGAAATCATTCTAATATGAATGAAAAAAAAAAACATGTCTTATCATTATAAATGTTGAAAACATTTTTTTTTTCAGGATTTTTTAATGAATAAAAAGTTCAAAAGAACTTTTGTAACATTGCCTTTACTGTCACTTTTGCTCAGTTTAAAGCATCTTTGCTAAATAAAAGTATTGTCTCACAACAACAAAAATCTCACTGATCCCAAACTTTGAACGGTAATGTATATATTTTTAGAAATATTTTACAAAGTAATATATCTGTCAATTTATTGTCTAACCACTAAATTGTACCCCAAAAACTGATAAACCATGGTATGCGTCCAAAAACATGATATTACCTTGGTGCCATGTCAAAAAAAATAAAACGGTACTTTTATGTTAGTGTACCAGCTGCAATTTTAAGAAGAGAAGCCAATAACCTTGGTGTCTTGTGAGCGTCTTTAATAATAGTCTGAGGTGGTTCAGGGCATCCTTCTCCAGTCCTGGCTGTGGAAACTGCCTCTTTCTTGGGTTTGGTGGTTTTCATTCTGTGTCGGTGGTTTGCAGAATGAGCAGTGAGCTGAACTGGAGGCCAGATCTTGGAAAGAGTGTGTGCCAGCCGCCTAGTGATCCACTCGCTCTGTGCACATACACACACATAAACTGTGTGTGAACTTCTCATCCTCTCTCTGTGGTTCTCCAGAAGCCTTTTATCCCCCTGGAAAGGAGATAATAACAGGTTGAAACTGCAGGTTCTATTGATCATGTAGAGGCTTGAATTAAGATTCTCTTCTTGAGTCGTCTGATTTCATTGTGTCAGAGTTTAATTTAGTATCGCACCAGATGAATGTTTAAAGCCAACAATGTGCTTTAGCATTTTGTTTATATTCAGATTTACTTTGCTTTCAGTGTTGGGCACAAAATAACTTTAAAATGTGGACCGAATGTACAAAAAATGCTTCATGCATTATTCAGCTGGATTAGAGTGAAATGTAACACAAAACAACTGCTTTCTTTCGTTTGTTTGTATATAGCACTGTGAAGACCTCATGAAATGGCCTGACAAACACAACTGACTTTCCTGTACTGATGTATTTCCTACTAAAACAAAGTTGGGGTGGGAAAAAAAAAATCTTGCTTTTAGTTTACGGCAAGATAACATACTACTTTTAAAATTTTTACAGTGTATGCACTAGTGTTTAAATGTTTGGGGTCAGTAAGTGTTTTGTTTTTTTGGTTTGGAAAGAAGCAAGGATACATTAAATTGATCAAAACTAAAATGATAAAGACACTAGTGTCACAAGTTGGTTCCACATTGAGGTGAATAGAGGTGAATTTGCAGCAGCTTTTACTAAACTAAATGAACAAAACACTTTGGCATAAGAAGGCACTGAAAAACTAGACAGGAGTAACAAAAGCCAAACTTAACCTTGAAGACACCAGACAAAGAACTGAACTGAAAAGAGGGTTTAAATACACAGACCAAACAATGACACTAAACTAGACGCAGATTAACACAATGGGTTGCTATGAAAACAAATGAAGAGCAGGAACAAAGGAAACAGGAAAACAAGGTGAAAAACTAGAAGAGGTCCATAAAACAAAGCATGACCGTGACAGTACATTCCCCTCCCAGAAGGCGGAACCAGAGGGAAGGAGACCATAGCGGAGCCAGAGGGGTGGAGGGTCAAGGCGAAGCTGGGGTTCCAGAAGTGGAGCCAGAGCAAAGATTGACCCCAGGTGAAGCCAGAGGGATGAGGTACAGAGCATGAGGAACGACAGACCATGGTGGAGCCAAGAGGGCGTGGAGCCAAGGCGAAGCCAATGGGACGAGGGAGCTCGCGCACCTGGTCCGGCTCCAGGACGAAATTGGCCCCTGGCTCTTGCTCTGACTCTAGCTTTGTGGGAGGCTCATTCTCTGAGACTGCAGTGGGCTCTGGATGATGGTCCGATGCGGGCATGGCAAGAGGTTGAATGGGCTCTGGGTGCTGGCCAGGGGAGGACTGGAACATCTCTGGCGTGGTCCTCATACAGCTCCTCCACAATAAAATCAGAACCATCTAGCCAGAAATCATTGCTGATGTACTGAGCTAACATCGTGCTGTCCCTTCCTGGCAAGAGGAAAACATACAAATAGTCATCCAGCACGAAAACATGCTTTTAGAATGTGTCTATTCCAGGGGATTCGAGAGTATAAGTCCAAAAGAATCCTCCATACACCTCTCCAGGGGGTAACCATTCTAGCAGAGGTTAAGTAGCTAGTACTCAGGGCAAATGTGGGCTGCTGCGAGATCCATATTATTAAAGGTGCTCTAAGCGATGTCACGCTTTTTTTTAGGCCAAAACATTTTTTGTCACATACAGCAAACATCTCCTCACTAACCGCTGGCTGCCTGTCCCCTGAACACACTGTAAAGAAACGCGATCCCTGTAGACAGCCCAGGCTCCACAAACAGCAACAAAAACAAACTGGGCTAACCCGCTCCACGAAACATGACATACAGTTCCAGCCAATCACTG